TTAGCATATCATAGAATCGCAATACTATCGTAACGTGGCTTAAGTATCGCGATAGTATCATATCGTGGGGAGTCTGGTGATTCCCACCCCTAATATATATATAAATGCCTGTGATATTGGAGATAGCCCTACCTCTGGTAAAGGTTTAGCCGGTCTGCAGTGGATTCCACCAACAAATTTGAAGTTAGGGAGGAAAGGACGAGGGAAATCAAAATCCCAGTAGGATCGCATCAACCAGATATCTGCTCTACCCATCGTCTCACAGGCACTGGTGGGTGTTCCTGTCACAATGCAACAGTTATGAGTAATATTTATAAAACACATTTTATGAAGCTAATTCTTATATTTCATATGAAAAATAATATATAAGTAACTTTGATTGCATATAAAAGCATTGCATTTGATCAAATCATCATTAGACATCATAAGGCCATTAAGAAAATCTGCTGTTACAACATTTTTCCTTACCTTTGACTTCGGAGTAGTATTTATCAATATCTTTAAAAAAAACGTTACTCATCACAATGTCTTGCAAAGCGTAGAAGAGGAAGTTCCACACTCTCTCCGAGAAGTCCATCTTGTCGGTCAGTTTGCTCATAGCTCCAGGGACAAAGGAGGGAGGAGCAGGGAGCTGACCACAATGTCTTTCACAGATATTGGCAATGGAAAAACGCAGAGAGAACACCAGGGGGATGCCCAAAATCTCTGCTACTAAGTCACTGCCGGGGTAAATTGGGTCAGCCAGGAGAAGGTCATATTTTCCCTCCTTCAACTTGTTCATGATGGTTTCTGATTTCAGCACGCCGTCCAAGACCTTGAAAGTATAATGCATGTTAAGCTTCATCACATCTATGAATCTGATGTAAAGCTGAACATAGCTCATATTATGCATCTCGTAGACAGAGAAGTGAAGGAACTCCTCAAAAAACTCTTCCATGGTTTCCTTTGAGACGGAGACGTTAAAGGGTTCATAGCTAAAGCGAGAAGGTTCACTCGAGTTCATGAACATGGACGTGCTCGGCACCAGCACCTTCACCTGGTGACCTCTGTCGACCAACGTCTCCAGCACAGGCTTCATGTTAATCCAGTGGCTGCCTTCAGTATACCACACCAAAATGTTTCCTCCATTTGCGCTCCATGTCACAGAAAGTAGCAGCAGGACACAAACGGAGACATGCTGCTCCGGCTTCATGGTGCCTGTTTGTGAAAACCAAGCAATTGGTTAGAGGTAAAAAAAAAGCAGTGGCTGTCTAGTTAACGTTCAGAGTTGAAAACAAAAACAAAAGTGGTCTCTAACCTGTACTACAAATCCTAAATCGGTAATCAAAAACATAACCTAGTTGTTACTGCAGAGAGACTGAATGAAATAACAGACATATAAGGATTCCAGCCAAGTGAACTTCGACACACTGAAGTAATTTGAGCCTGTGTGAGCTTGTATTTTCTTGCGTAATAATTTTTTTGTGGGAGGGAAAACATTTCAAAAGCAGCTTCCTCAAAGCTGTGTGTGTGTGTGTGTGTGTGTGTGTGTGTGTGTGAGCCAATCAGCAGTCAGTTTGTATGTGTGAGCCAATCAGCTGTCAGTGTGTGAGCCAATCAGCTGTCAATGTGTGTGTGAGCCAATCAGCTGTCAGTGTGTGTGTGAGCCAATCAGCTGTCAGTGTGTGTGTGTGTGTGTGTGTGAGCCAATCAGCATGTGTGAGCCAATCAGCATGTGTGTGAGCCAATCAGCTGTCAGTGTGTGAGCCAATCAGCGGTCAGTGTGTGAGCCAATCAGCTGTCAGTGTGTGAGCCAATCAGCAGTCAGTGTGTGTGTGTGTGTGTGTGTGTGTGTGTGTGTGTGTGTGTGTGTGTGAGAGCCAATCAGCGGTCAGTGTGTGTGTGTGAGCCAATAGGCTGTCAGCGTGTACCTGCAGCCTCGTCCACGGACAGCTCGTTGGTCAGGATTCCTCCGATCTTATTGAACGCCGGCATCTGGATCCCATATTTATCCAGCTCCATCTTCATGTTGCTGATCTCCTCCTCTACACACACACACACACACACACACACACACACACACACACACACACACACACACACACACACACACACACACACACACACACACACAC